TTTTGTCAAGCCTGTCTACAATCGCTTCCTCTTCATCATTACTAGATAGAATATCAGATGAGTCACCTTCTGGTTCTGATTCCTGGCTTTCCCCAAAAGATTCAGCTGAGCTCTCATATTTGCCATCGTTGATCTTCTGATATGACTTACCAACGGGTCCCAATACCATACCACTAGCCTCACCCATCTCTTGATTTGTAGGGTTCCCTAACCCCTCAGAAGGTCCCGAGTTAACCAGTCTATCCTTTGCAGGATTAGATTTCTCGGGCAATTTTGCTGATGCTCTTCCTTCTGATGAATTAAGGAAACCTTTAGGTGCCCATTGCAAGTCTAAAAGTCTTTGTCAAATTGCTTCCATAGACGAGTTATGTTTCGCTCCAATTTAAGGTAATTCTCTCACTGTTTTAAAATTTATTTGTTCCCCTAAATAAATTTTGTTTTCTTGTTACAATTCGCTGTTACATTTAGTTTTTAGATTATGTTCATACGAAACACTATTAAATAGGTGTGCAAACAATCAACAAGCATATCAAATTGTGAATTTTGTTTTTCAGGTTGTTGGGAATCATCAAATACGAGGGCTCAAAACTTGGTCTCTTCCTTAACGAATGGTATTCACCGTTTTTTCTTCCCTATATTGCTTTTTTCTGCTTAAAAACAACTTTTGATCGTTGGTGTTTTGCATGTTTGGATCTTTGAGATATTGAGTTAATCTAACTAAGTTTCATAAAGCTTTAAATTTTTACTAATGATTGTTTCTTTACAAATTCTGCAATTGATTTGTTCTCATCTTCTTTATTTTGTCCTTTTCACATTTACGTACATGGAGACTACAAATTTTGTATTTTTGTAGTAGAATATTGATAGTTAACCTTTTCTTGCCAATTTAAAAATTGATTACATTGATGGTCTTTTTTGGTGTAGTGTTGTTTGTTGATCCATCTTCAGAACATATAAAAGAAAATTGGTTTTTCATTATCAAGGTTATAAAAGAAGCAGACAACTTACAAGAACTAGGTGTAAATAAATAAGGAATAACATAAACAAAAGAAACAGAATAATATTATGGGTGGTATAGTGACAAAGATATAAAGACCCACGAAAAAACTTCTCACACAACAAATAGCTTGAGTCTTCATATGTAAATGATATTTTCAAAAAAAAATTTCAACTAGATATATTTTAGATATTAGTTTTTTTTTGTTTCTTTTCAAAACGATGTCCAATTTTAGGCATTATAGCTAGATATGTCTATGATGATCAGTGTCTAACTATTTTGACTACTGTATAGTCTTATGCATTTAGTTGAAACATTTATGTTTTAAACTCATTTATCCAAACTTAGTGATTTCTCTTCTTGATAGTTTTTCTCTTCCTTCACAAGTTATATTTTCGTTACTTAGACTTTTTGGTGACACCAAAAAAAAAGAAGAGATTTTTGGTGTTGGAAAAACATCACGAAAAGAAGTAATTATATCATAGGTAAATAAAAAATATAGACAATGAGCAACAATGACATATGTTTTTAAAAAAAACAATGACATAAATTGTTTTTACTAATCATGTTCCTACTTTTTGTATTGATTTTATTGTAAATAAATATAACTACGAATTATAAATTTTAATATTTTCATATGTAATACAACTAGCAAAAATGAAGTGAATTTTTACGTAGTACGTACTGAGTACTAGTATTTTTCTAATCAAGCAACATTTTTTTTGCAGATTCTTTTATCCGACACCTTTCTCTTGAAACTTCTTAGAATCAATGAATGCATGATCCAACAGTATAATATAAAGTATATGTTTTACGTAGCTATCAAAATTTCAATGTTAATGGAAATCTCAAATTCTCGAATAGCCCAATGTTAAAAACATGTCTCTGGTTTATTAATTTACAATGGAAACATGTTTCTCATGCCACCTGGTATAATTTTTAGCATCGTAAGTGAAGTATGGAATTGTTTCTTTTGGTTGATCGTTTTTGTCTCTAGCCCAAATAAACCCCCAACCCTAAGGCCCATTCATGTGGCCCATCTTTACATCTAAAAATTCTAACTCTCTCCACACTCTTCCTCTATATAATGGAAACGCCAAAGAGAGGAAGGAATAGAGATCATCCTTCACTACAAGAAATATGGACATTGGTAGCATAACACGGTAGCACTAATTCAATAACTGCTACTAAAAGTCCGAAAATCGGATCTCAACTCTATCGTAGCATTAAATCCGCGCTAGAAAAGATTTTCATTAAGCGGGAACCCAAAAATCTCTTATGTAGCTGGAAAATAATTCTGGAGCCAAACACTTAGCCAAAATTTTGGTTTTTGCGGAAAATAAAGTTTTTTTTCCTAAGTCTTTTTTTTTTCTTCTAAATGTTCATTCCTATTCTTGCCAAAGAAAAAAAAAATTCATCCCATCCTCTCCTCTCTCTCGTTCTCTAAGAAACTTTCACAATCCTATCCTCATTTTTCTTCTCTATCCCTTATCTTTCCTTTCTTCTCTCCAGTTTTTTGTTCTTCAATCGATCTATACACCTCCGATTCATCTCGAGAAACCCTAGATTTCATCTCCAAAAAAGCTTAGATCTATGCTCCCCCGGTCTTCATCCTTGGCGAAGTAGGCGGTCCTCTGTTTCTCCACCCTTTCTGTTTCAATCCGCCGAAGCTTCTCTCCGATAACCCCAAACCCTAGATTTTGCTTGAACCCGTCATCAGATGTCAACGGCTAACGTTGAAGGGCGCGGAGGATTCCTACGATGATGGCGAGGAAGGACTCGAGGTTACGATTTTTGAAGGTTTAGCCTA